TTCTGCTGCCCCTGCTATATTAGCAATAATAATTGGTTGCTATGCAGACTGCTGCTAATATTATTTCTAACATTGCATCTGAATTTGCTATGCCATTCTGCTGCGATCTGAATAGCTTTGCATACTGCTACTACAGCTGTACGAAAGTACTTAGAATTACTATAAGCGTCTTTATTAAACAATGAAATGCAAACAAATAATGCCTATTTCGCTTTGAAGAATTACTTACCCCATGTGTTATCACTGAAATTTCATGCAAGTTGCAATCATACTTCCTGCTGCCGATGCTATAAACAACTAATAATTTGACTTGATTTGCTATGCATACTGCAATTAACAATTCGCTAATAACGTGATCTGAATTCTATGATAGTGCTGCTACACTCCATGAAATTTCATGCAACCAGATACTTTCTGCTGCTGCTGCTATAAACAACACTGATAATTTGACTTGATTTGCTATGCATACTGCTATTAACGCAATCTGAATTCAATGATACTGCTGCTACACTCCATGAAAGTACTATAATTGCTGTAAGCCCAACTGAATACACAAATAGACTATAATTGCTGTAATCCCAACTGAATACACAAATAGTAAATTCCAGTTTAAGAGTGTCCTACTATTAGCTGCATTGTACACGGGCTACTGATTGGAAATGATTTGTTAGTAGTAGTATCTTTATATTTTAAACGAATTCATGATTAATTATCTTTAAACTATCACTAAACATGACTTTCATAATAAATTCTTCACTTTCGCTGAACCAAGGTAACGAGTGAAATAGAGATGTGGCCCATTTAAGAATGAGCGCTCCCTCTTCTGAGTGCATTGCAATGCGGCACGAGTACACGTATGAGCGGGTATATTATTTTCTGCTGCTCATTAAGTTGTTATGGTTAAATAGGTAAGGCTGTTGACAGCATGACGTTTATGAAAGACATTTATACGGGTTCACCTTAACTTAAACTGTGAACAACTGTGAAACGCCAACTGCAAACCGACCCCACTAGTGAGGTGTGCATCTGAAAGCGAT